GGCTTTTTCAAAGCAAAGGGCAGTAGGCTCCGGCTCAAGAATGCCTTACTATAATGATTATTCTTCCCAATTTTACAAATCAATTCTCTCTAGAGATCTGTCATCGTACCTTTTACAGGATCATACATACATATTGGGAACAAAATATGTATGACAATAAAATACAAGAGGGTAGGGGATCAGAGCTATGATATCTATGAACATATAATCATATTTATTCGTCCTGTCAAGAAAGTAAAAACAAAACAAAATGGTTATATTCTACAGAAGACAAAAATGAGGGTTAGAAAACTACAGAAAGGGTTGTTGTTAGGCATGATCAGAAATGGGAAGGAAAAACAATCATTATTATTGGAGATTTAATCTATGGAGAGTAGATTCTCTACAAATTTTATATATACACTGTGTAATTTTTTTTCTATCGATGTGAATGGCTTCAATTCGATAAAAGAATGAAGCAAGTATTATGCACGTACGCATTGTTCTGTGAAGACATCCCCACACTCCTGAGTAGATTTCAAGTCGATGGCTTGGGACGTCATCACTGGAGAACATGCTCAATAATCATGCTACAATGCAGGCTATAACCACCAGCCAGATGGGGGCGTCTGATCATGTGAAAAGTGTGACAACATCTCTTCTGTATCCCCTAACCATCAACATCCGCGGCACGTTCTCGACGAGCAGATCCATGTATTCCATGTAGCAGTAGGCGGGCTGGTTCAGCGGCGGCGCCGGGAGGCTCACCAGCACCACGACGGCCATCCTGGAGTGCCTGAGGATGGTAGCGTTCAGCTTCAGCATGGTGTTGAGGAACTTGTCCACCTTCTGCTCATTAACCACGACCTGCTTGCCGCCCTCCATCAGGGGCCGCCCTTCTCTCTCCGCGGTCTCCTTCATCTCTGAAAGGTATACCCTGATTCTGTTCTGTGCGCTTGTGTAAGCTTCTTGAGTGTCATCAATCCTGGAACTGCCGTCCGCATGCGCTTCGAAGGATTTCATGGTGACGACGATAACCTCTGCTCGCATCCTGAGATCATACAGGAACTTCTTGACGTCAGCCTTTAGCTCCTCGGCCTCGGAGTCCTCTTCGGCGATGCAGAAGACCTGGATCTTACAGTCCTCGAAACTATCCTTGGTTAGTAGGAGCTGAGACAGCAGAAGCATCAGCCCTCCATCCCGCCAGATTTCAGGGTAGCGCATGACCACGATGTTTGGCTTCAAGTTTCCCAGGCCCATTGTCTGAACAATGCTGCGAAACCCATCGGACATCGAGGGTGCCACGATGATCTCCGCAACACCCTCACAGCGCTTGTCGTCAATATAAGCGCTTAGTTGCCTGCAGACTGCCTTTGCATCCTCAGCAGATTCATGATAGTCACCATCAATTATAGAGACGAATATCGACATGCCACGTCCCTTTTTCTTCATGAAATTAGCGAAATCTGCAAGCTTTGGGTGGCATGGGACATCTTCTGGAAGTCTGCCCCAAGGGCGGCAGAATATGAGAGGAATAGGGTACCAATTTTTTGGATGAACTTGGTTTGCTGCAACAGACATGGTCAAAATTAAAAGAATTTCGCTTAGTGTGTTGTGAGGTACGTTTAATTCCGACGTATGATAATAACAGTACCTCCCAGTGATCGAAGACTTCGCAGAGCTAGTTGAAAGTAGGCACTCTTAAATCCATCTCCCCAGTCTCCAGCCTTTCCTTTTAAGCTGACATAGTAGTAGATAAGGCTTGCAAGGGCAAGAGAGACCACAGTAAAAGCCCAAGAGATCATAAACATGATAACTGGAAATTAAGAGGGAGAAATCATCTGTTAACGGTCTGCACCTTTTTAATGTATTCAATATTACAATCTAAGGGTGTAATTTTTTCAGTTATAGAAAAAGAACAAAATAGACGAGAGCTGTAATGCATGTAATTTTGAAAGGTAGCTGACATCCCTTGACCACAACAAGAAATCTTGGACAAACTAACATGCAAGTGTTTAGTAAACATTTTCCATCAACTCAATGTTAGAAAACTATAGTGTCCATTTCTGTATACGTGTTATAACATGTGATCTTAAATAGAAATATTAAAATGGGGAAGCATACCAATGCAAAGCAATGCGCCGATGAGAGAAAGGCTCCAATGGTGAAGCTTCCATCGAGGACGCCAACTTGGAGCATCGAGGAGGTCAAGCAGAAAGCAGGAAAGGTTCACACCGGCATAGCACAGAAGGAAAAACATAGTGATAGTGGGTGTAATTAGATCCAAGTTCCCAATCACAACACAACTAATACAGATGAAGCTTGTAAACAGAGTCGCCACGTGCGGCTCAGACCCTTCATAAGCTTTAAAACAGTTTAGAACAGGGAGAATGTCATCATTCGCTATTGCCACAAGTAACCTTGGAGCCCCTGTTAGACTCTGCAGCGCTGCACCTAAAGTAGACAAGATAATGCCAATGTGAATTACTGCTGGGGCAGGCCAAGCGACTGTAGCTGTTAGGAGCCTGCATTAAGAAAATCAGTGAGCTGACTACACAAGAAAAAAGTAGCATGACTAACTTACAGCAATCCAAGATGTCAAATATTACGAAATGCTGAATAGCAGCACGACAGTGTCACACTAACACAAAAATAACTCTATGTACTTGCTCACTATGTTGTGTAGAACATCGTATTTTTCATATTGGTTTCAAGCGGTCGGTCATCTTAGGCTTCGATGTTTGGCACGAGCTTCGTGCGAGTAAATACATTGGTTTTGAATCAATGCTTCCGCCAGGGCATATATTCAGTACATTTGCAGGTCCTGTCAGGCGTGCATAAGCAATACTGCAGTAGTGATAGACTATCTTTCTCTCCTTGAGCATCATTACGAGTATGGGACGTGTCACCATTCCCCACCTTTAGCGACACTCGCTGGGACGCGCAAGTCCTGAATGTTTTTCAATATATGCAGTAGCGCTTGTGTACTAGTTCATGCCATCTTTCGGCATTAATGCACTTGCTTCTAATTTAGCAATGATTATATGAATCTTATGCTTATGGAGCTATCAACCCCTCTCTTAAGTCTCATATCCAAGATGCTCGAAAAATGCCCCCATGCTGTCACAGCATAGCTAACACACTATCAACATCCAGAAATCAGAAGGTTGATGAAGAAAGCTCAGACCTGTCAGTTAGAAGCTCTTGTCTTGTAGCCAAGGCTCCGAACAGAAACACAGACAGTAGATACATCATAGTAGTTAAAAGGGTAGCATATAATGTTCCAATTGGTATTGAACTTTGTGTGTCTTTAAGTGAAGCAGAGCGGTTCGAACCAGCCATGATTCCTGTAACAGCTGGGAAAAAGAGACCTAACAATGCGCTGAAAGACAAATAGCAAACGGTTAGCAAGCGCACACTAAATAGCATCTATATACAGCAAGCATGAGAATTAGCAGTAAGAATTACGCACTTAAAATCCCAATATATAGGCCCATTTGGATCAGGAACTCCAGCATCATTTGTAGGTTGGTAATCTGCACTCCAGTTGTCAACTAGTGTAGTCGTACTTAACCCAGTGATTCCCTCTACGTAGGAAAAAACCAACAACAATGATTTAGAACAAAATAAGAAATAAACATAATCATAAGCAAAGCTACTTACTTGGAGAGTTGGGTCCTGGAGCACTCAAGACACCAATGTAAATGCAGAGTATTGAGAAGAGGACTGGCATTAAGAAAGCAGGGGCAACCTTGTTGATAATTTTGACGCCACCAAACACAATAAAACACAACAGTATGGTCACAATGACACCATAGATCTGGAGGTCATGCAAGCTGGGTGTTGATATAGTTATTCCACTGCCTCCATTTGCTGTACTATCGACCACTGTAACCTTCTCTGCATTTGAATTGCTAAGAGTTAATTTAAATAAGAAATGATGAAAGATCAAAATTTAGAATAAAGATTGCATACCTCTACAGAAGAAAGCATTTGCAAAGGCAAAACTATCATTTCGGAAAAAGGTGAGAGGGTTTTCTCGATTAAATAAGCATTTGGTAAGCTTTGTTAGAATTTGGTAAAAACTACTTTTACAAGTTTTGTTCTGCATATATATAGGACCTGTAAAAACAAACCAACATCAACTGCATTGTTTTGAGCTAATAGTAACACAACACCTTGAAAAAATCCAGCAGAAGGAACAGCATCCAAAAAGGTTTCTACAGCTCCCAGCACATACCTGCAACTAGCAATCGTGTGTTAACAACACAACAGCTCATAAACTGATAATGCGTCAGAGAGAGGGAGAAAGCCACGCCAAGAAAGAATTAAAGCATTGAAAGCTGCAATGGTAACACTTGCGATCTCAATAAGCAGAACTGCACAAGCAACAAATGGCAATTCTGTCATTTCCTCTTTTGGTCCTACATAGAACTATGAGCTCTCCTAATTAACATACAGGTTTTCTTTTGTTTCTCAAGATTACATACTAGCATAAAGGTTCCAATCCCACACTGCAATACTGAATAAGATCCAAATATAATACTCCCTCCGTCCCAAATTATTCGTCGTGGTTTTAGTTCAAATTTGAACTAAAACTACGACAAGTACTCCCTCCGTTCCAAAATAGATGACCCAACTTTATACTAAAGATAGTACAAAGTTGAGTCATCTATTTTGGAACGGAGGGAGTAATTTGGAACGGAGGGAGTAGTATAATACTGATATTTTACTGGCTATTCTATCAATATTTGACTCGTTGTACTATACAAATGTATATAACTGCATAAACAAGAAGAGAGCTATATTCCTGCCCAAGTAGATATAGTAGCAAGTCTGCAATATGATAGATAAAACTATTTGGCCAAAAGGAAGTTCCAAGAAAAACAAATTTTACGAAGGACACTGTCAAGTAATCAATCGGCATGCTCTAAGTCTAATGCAGACTTACATAGCCCCAGCAACTGCATTTCCAAGGAAGAAACATAATCCAATACTAACTCCAACTTCTGGACCTAGTGCACGGCCAATTAGATAGTATGGTCCACCACCCTGAAACAAAAAGAAACTTTCCTGAATACATCGATGATCTAGCATGTAGCGCAGAATAATGAGACGTAAACAACAAACTCTCTTGCGATGATTGGCTGAGATGTCTAACTTGCTGATCTGAACGTAATTGACTGAGAAATACAGAAGTTCTAAGTCTGATATTCAAGTAGTAGATGGGCCTCAAATAGGGATGTAAATGGCCAATAAATGGCGCCTGCAAGTCCCATTTAGTCAGCTCTACTTAGCTCGATAGTTCATTTTGCCTAGAAAAAACCTTTATTGAACTGTTAGAGCAAACTGGACCCGGTTTACATCCCTGGCCCTCAAAGGATATCAAAATATGAATTTGTTTTCCTCAATTGTGAAATTACTGGAAATATATTTTACTGTACTGGATGATGATGAGTTTGCCTCTCTATCGTGGTCGACAAACAACAAGAAAAAATAAAACAGTTATTTACAGAATAGACATATAGAGCCTTACTCAAGAATCTATCACTTGTTACAGATATTCCGCATACCTTCATTGCCCCATTTGTTGCAATCGCGCTTAATGATATTGCAGTTAAAAATGTGCATGCGCCACATAATGCAACTAAAACAAGGGACTGCCATATGCCTCCCATACCGACGATCCTACAAGGAGAAATGAAAGGTTGTTGTGTTTAATATTCGAATATATGGTTTATCCTACATCTTTTCTAATTCTGAAGCTAAGTAAGAAACACAATCAGAGGAAGTGTCACGTCTTTATCACCTACTGTTAGATGAGAACCCAATGAACAAGAACGTCTCTCAAACTGGACAGGTCATTTTAAAGAAGTAACCATTCATTCGTGAAACTCAAAGCCCATTAAATTCTTATTTAGTTGCAAGAGTACAGGGTGTGGCATTAACGAAATTCAAAATGCCAATTCTTCAGTACAGTAATATGGAACAATATGAAGTATATCAAGGTCCTCAGATGGGGCAATTCTCCGAGCCAACGGTTCCTAAAGTGGTAATCAATGTTTTGCAATTTTAGAGTAATGTTCCTTAACTTAGTTAAACTACGGAAACAGTGCATCCAATAGTAAATAAATACTCCCTCTGTAGAGTAATACAAGACCTTTTATACCACTAAAGTAGTGATCTAAAAGATCTTATATTTCTTTACACAGGGAGTATATGATAAAGCTACATGAAGGCTGTTTACCACAATGGCCATAAAGTACACAAGGGAAAGATATAAATATGACTTCCACCGTAGCATCTTTATGTTGCAGAAACTAACTAGAAAGTAGTGGATAATGGCATAATGCACTGATAAAGAACAGGTGCAAAATTTTACCATGTGAAACGTATATAATAGATTATTCCCAAGATATTCTGCAAGCACGGCACAAAGACACCCATCATGGTACCGAGTTTAGGGTCAGTTTCCTGCATAGCAAAAAAATAAATGAGTGCAACCAACAGTGATGCTTTAACAAAAATAAACTAAAGTAAAATTAAGCAAAGGGACCAAGAGCAATAAAAAAATAGAATAAGTTTGTTTACAAATAAAAATAAACAAAAGTAATGACAATTAAATTTGGAAATTGGCCTTGACCTAACAAGTTTGGAAACGGCATTAGATAATTGGATGTGGAACGAACCTTAGGGCGTCCGATGGTAATACCGATATCCTCACTATCCGTAGGACTGACAGGTGTCTGAGCTGGTTCTTCTGCCATACTGTTCAGAATCAGTCAGACATATGACATGGCTCTAGCTATGTTCGCAGAAAAAATAAACATATATATAGGCTTCTAGCGATTTCCTCAAACAATATATATGTTTAGAGCGCTATAAACACACGTTCAGGAAAAACCTCTGAAGCTCTGATTAAAACGAAGCAAATTCATACAACAAGTGATGACTGATGAGCTGATGGTACCTCTTAAGTCCCAAAATATTGACCAACGAGTCGAAACCGAAGAGCTCGAGCTTTGAATCACTTTGACGTGCACTAGATGTACGGTGCGCATTGGAAGAAGCCACTCGCATTCTTGGATCCATACTTCTGTTCCTACCAGGATTAATGGGCCTGTAATATGAACAATTAAATCTGTCAGTGCTAGCATTTCTGATCAAGAAACCAAAAAAATTCCTTTCAGAATTCAGAAGCAGATGATTCTTCAGGTAGCAGGGAACCAGTAGCTACGGCAGTTGCAATTCTGGGGAAGTGGCACTGCTAAAATAAAAGCGAGAATAGCAATCCATCGGTTTCGGAATAAATCTACCAACACCTTCAAGTGGCAACTAGTTAAGATGTGTTTAACTTTGAACTAAACAACACATTAATCATACGAAGATTCTTAACGTCAACAAGTCTTCTAATACGTGAGTACACGAACCAAAATAAACACCCTGCAGTCATCATGATTCCAAATGACAGGTAGCAACTTTGTCCAAATTCGAACGAGCTCACAAGGATTTCGATGCTGACTACTGCAACGAAGATACTATCAGCAATGCGACGATCCGCGCCGCATCCACATGCGCTGCACACGACAGAACAGAAGAGAAGAGACGCGAAATGCGCGTCATCCAACCGAATCACCTGGGCCCCGAGGAGGGGTCGGCGGAGGCGCCGGGGTCGAGGGGCGCCATCTGGACGACGGCGCTGTCGTGCGGCTCCACGGGGCGGTACCTCTGCTGCGAGGCCTCCGGCACCGGGCCCTCCTCCTCCTCGTCGTCGTCCGCGGCGACGACGGCGCTGTCGTGCGGCTCCACAGGGAGGTACCTCTGCTGCGACGCCTCCGGCACCGGGCCCTCGTCGTCATCGTCGTCGTCCGCGGCGACGACGGCGGCCCCTGGGGCTCCCCTGCTCCCCATCGCCTTAGGGTCGGTTTCAGTTTCAGATCGAGGCGCGAGTCTAGCTGCACCTGGGACAGGGCACCTGGTTCCAAATGCAGCAGCCTTTTTTTTTTTTTTTGCACCTGGCAAAGAGGATTTTGCTACTGAAATTTGATTCGATCTGGCAAAATCTATACCAATATAACTTTTTTTTTGAACCAGGGAACAAAAGTTCATTGCATATTTTTTTTGTTTTTGCGAAAAATCCTCCCACCTAGTAAGATATTAGATGTAATGGTGGTACACATATCGACAGAAATAATAGTAGAAATTTACAACCGGTTACATCGACGACTACATGCATTGGTGCGGGCCGAATGCGCACTTCCATCATTGTCCCTCCCTTGTCGGAGCCGGCCAGGCAAACCATGTTATGGTTGACATTTGGGAAATCGTCGTGCTAAGCCTTGGAGGACCGGCGCCCCATAGCACAAGTTTGTCGCTGACAGAGACAAAAATGTTGATCGAGAGGACCCGTACCTGCAAGGTGTTGCGTCACCTTATTATTGGACCAGGCCCATGTAATTTCAAAATACTTGAGTATAACCAAGGCCATATCCGCCCGCCAAATCCAGACGGATCTGCCTGAGATCAGCATCGATTGGATCCAAATAGATCTGTCGGAGGCCAAAGGCAACATGACCCAATCGAATCAACGGGAGACACCTCTGCATGCCCTTTGTCCATAGTTTAAAATACCGGGCTGGGCCAGCGGTCGGGCCCGGAAAAACCGGAACCGGCGGCCTTGCCGGTATTATAAGCTTATTACACTGTTTTGCAAACGGATCGAAAAAACCGGTTGAACTAGACTGTTTTTTGCCCAAACCGGTTGAACCGGTAATAGACGCTAGTATCTCTAGGAAAGAGGAAAAATAATAGCGGCCGCTAGAGGTTTATCCTTGGGCACAATTAAATAGGCTGACGTCACCAATTTGGTTCAACAACCAACTTGCCCATCCACAGTTAACCGTGGAAGGCTAGAAACTTAGTATATTTGACATATTTTTATGGATTAAAAAACCAGCAAATGAACCGATGAACTGGCGATCCGACCAGTAAAAAACTAAACCAGCGGCATCACTGGTTCGATCGCCGGTTTGGTTTTTTAAACTATGCCTTTATTGACCCTGGACGCATAGCTAGAATGGGTAGGGCGGCAACGACACTATCCTGGCTCAAGGGTGCTGCCGCGGCCTTGCCGCCTTACTAGGACACCGAGCACTACCGTCACCACAACCATGGCTGAAATCTCAAATGACTCAGCAACCCTAACCAGACGGAAGAACCCCAAATACTAGCACAAGTACCATACGAGCATAACCACAAGACTAAGAACAAAAGGAAAAACACACGAGAAGAACATGGATAGCTAGTGATGCAAAGGCAACACACCTATGAAAAGCAGATTCACACTACACGTTTGAATGGTTTCTCACAAATTCACAGGAAACACAAGAACAAAGGTGGTGGTTCATCCTCAAGTCCAAAGTTAAGGAGTTATTGTGCTTTGTTGGAGCCTTCACCCGTATGTGGTCCCGTACTCAATAAGAATCTTCACTTGGAATTGACCTTGTACTCCAATGAAATCTTCTCCTATGGAAGGCTTTGTAATCCTTCAATAAGTAAAAATTATCGAACCCAACGAGGAGCGAGAGAAATTATTCTGTGGAAACTAGCTAGGAAACTAGCTAGGAATCATTGTGGTTGCTAAAAGAAGTACTTTCTTCATAGAAAATATAAGAGTGTTTAGATCATTAAAATAGTGATCTAAATACTCTTATATTTCTTTACAGAGGGAGTATTATTTGTTTGGTTAATTAAATGATCGCAATATTAAAGGCTTAATTTGTTGGAGTATAATGTTCGGTCCTCTCCCAAAAGCTCAAACAGATGGAGAAAGGTGGGCTATGCATTTATACATCAACACTTCCCATCACGTGTGGCTCCCTCAGGGCGAACACATGGATCGAAAGGATGTAGCTTTTGGGTGAATTGGCTGGTGCATGCAGTTATACATAAGTAAAGTAAAACAGTGTGGCAAGCGGGTCAATCCTTATAAGTGCTAGAGACAAGTGGGTTGTATTTCTTATGTGGACTAAATCCGAACACATAAAATCTTTTTACATGTGTTTCTTTTGTCATGTTTTTGTTGGATTTCCTGCGTATCAGAATATCTTTTTCCCTTAAATCTCCTCCTCTGAAAAGTAGAAGACATGGTTGAATATGTATGATAAAAGAGCACTTTATCTTACAAAATAGTGATGTAAAATGCATGTATTCAGTGAAGGCCGAGTCGAAAATTTAGGAGTAAACTGAAAGAATTTCTGCTTACTGGGGGTAATTCAGATAAAAATTCATTAAATGAGAGGTAATTACAATAACACTTTTGCTTTGGTACATCCCCTATATGCATTGACGGTTGAGATCAGATTTCTAAAAAAGTTAATCAGATTTGTAAAAAAGTTAATCAGATTTAAAAAAAGTTCATTGAATTTGAAAAACAGTTCACAAATTTCTAAAATAGATCACAGATTTTAAAAAATCATTTATTTTGAAAAAAGTTCATTGAATTTGAAAAAAAGTTCACCGGATTTAAAAAAGTTCATAGCAGTCAAAAGAAATTCACCAGATTTTAAAAAATGTAATCATATTTGAAAAAAGGTCGTCGAGTTTGAAAAAAAGTTCATTGATTTAGAAAAAGTTCACAAATTGTTAAAGAAGATCACAAAATTTGAAGAAAAGTTCATAAATTTTGAAAAAAGTTCATCAAATTTGAAAATAATAGTTCATCAATTTTGATAACAAAATCATCAATTTGAACAAAAAATGATTTGAAAAAAAATCATCGAACCAGGAAGAAGGAAAAAAGAAAAAGAAAATGCAAAAAGGAAAAAAAAGGAAGAGGGATGAAGAAAGACGACAAAGATGAATGCAATCACATGGGGATTGGTGGCGGGGTTGTTATTGCATGCTGGTTCGAAGCAGCAGGTGGCCAGTTCGAGTCGCAGACGATACACCCGCACTTCCTTTTGTTTTCAAACACAGAAGAAAAAGAGTAGATGGGTCGGCCCAGTTCGCAGCAGATAGAGTGTGCGCTTCAGGCGCCCGTTAGCAAAATGGCCTGTAACGGGCAACTGAAATGCTAAATAGGGATCGCCGCCCTCAAAGATGGGTTGCAAGTTGAGGAGTTCGAAACCCAGCTGCATGTGGCCCAGGATGACGTAAGAACGAAACAAACTTTGCACAGAGCTAACGAATAGTTGGGTCGACCCATTTAAACGTGTACGTGGTTCTGGTTTTGGGAATCTTCTGGAACATTCTAGCCCTTGCTTTTATCGGTTTTGGGAACCTTCTAGAAGGTTCCTGAACCCAGCTGCATGCGGCCCAGGACGACTAACAAAATAGAAGGCCCGCATAAAAAAGAACAGATTAAAGACCGAAATCAATTCTTGGCATGAAAACGAGATGATCATCGTTTGCAAAAACCATGCTCGGATTTCACTGGAAAGCAATATTGCATGCTCTACCTTTTTGTTTTGAAACACACAAGAAAAAGAGTATATGGGCCGCCCCAGCTTGCAGCAGAGATGATAGTGTGCGCTTCAGGTGCTCGTTAGCAAAATGGCAAGCGCTAAATAGGGATCGCCGCCCTCAAAGATGGGTTGCAAATTGAGGAGTTCGAAACCTAGCTTCGTGCGGCCCAGAATGACGTAAGAACGAAACAAACTTTGCATAGAGCTAACGAGCAGTTGGGCCGACCCATTTAAACGTGTACCGTGGTTCGGGTTTTGGGAACCCATTAGGGGAGCCCCTATTCAGCGCCTGCTGGGCCGGCCCACGGACGCGCACCCAAAACATTTTGTAATAGTGTACGTGGTTCGGGTTTTGGGAACCCATTAGGGGAACCCCTATTCAGCGCCTTCAGCGCTGGGCCAGCCCACGAACGCGCACCCAAAACATTTGTAATATTACGCGAAAAAACATCTAAAAAGGTGAATCCCTGTGAATCGAACTCGTGACCTTACACTCGTCGTCAAGCTTGGCAAACCAGTACACGTACAAGCTGCTAGTGATTCACTAGAGCGTGAATTAATTTGAGAACCAGCTTAGCAGCGCTACTTAGTGTACAGCCCCTCGCTTAGATTTTCGAATTATTTGAAAATATTAATGAAAAACGTGAGTGTATGGGAAAAATGTGAACATATTTGGAAAGTTGACAAACATGCATAAAAAAGTTGGCCAATGTAAAAAAGGTTCATGTATTTAATGAGTTCATGAATTCAAAAATAAAAGTTCATGAAATGGAAAAAAAAATACACTAATTCATTTAAAAAAGTTCATAACAATGAAAATCAACCACGAGTTTGACAAAAGTTCACTAGATTTAGAAAATTTCATCTAATTTTAAAAAAGTTCATCAAATTTGAAAAAAGTTCATCAAATTTGAAAAATGTTCATGGATTTTCAAAACAGTTCATCAAATTTTAAATAAAGTTCATCAAATTTGAAAAGAGTTCTTTGAATCTGAAAAAAGTTCATCAAATTTGGAAAGGAGTTCATCGAATTTGAAAAAAATTCATCGAATTTTAGAAAAAGTTTATGAATTTAGAAAAAAGTTCACGAATTTTAAAAAAACATGCATTAAAGAAAAACAAATTAAGAAAACAGAAAAAGATAAGGAAAAAAGTAAAAGAAAAAAAACAAACCGTGCTAAAGAAGAGGAGAAGAACAGAACAACTAGTCAACTAGCGAGGCGTAACTTGGTGGCTGAAACTATGCGCTCGCTACGAATTGGCTGTGAATTCGAAACTCTGTTCCGCATATTTTTTGCGTTTGTAAAACTGCTATATGGGCCGGCCCAGCGCGGGGCGCTGCAGGCGCCCGTTTGCGGAAAACACACGTTAACGAGCGCCTGCAGCGCCAAATAGGATTTGCCACCCATTAGCTTCCCAACTGAGAGGGCTAGGCCATATGACTTC